GTCACCTTCAGAGACAACAACAAAGGTAAAATTATTGGCAAGGGAACCATAGGTAACAAATCAAGTTTTTCAATTGATGATATATTACTAGTTGATGGATTGAAACATAATCTCTTAAGCATTAGTCAATTATGCGATAAAGGTTACATCGTTAGATTTGAATCCAATGTGTGTATTATTGAAAAACCAAATATTAACATATCAATGATTGCCTTAAAATAAAATAATATTTACACCATCAACCTTGATGAACTTAATAATGAAATGTGCTTTTCCGTTTTAAATGATGATGCTTGGCTTTAGCATAGGAGATTAGGCCATGCAAGTATGAAACTAATATCTAAGATTTCATCTAGAGAGCTAGTACGAGGGATTCCCAATATGAAGTTTGTTAAGGACAGTGTGTGATGCTTGTCAACTAGGAAAACAAATAAAAACTAGTTTCAAACCAAAAAAATCAAATTAGCACCACTAAACCATTGCAATTGATCCATTTAGACTTATTTGGACCAATTGACACAACGAGTCTAGGAGAAAGCAAATATGCCTTCGTAATTGTAGATGACTACAGTAGATACACTTGGACCTATTTCTTGGCTCATAAAAGTGACTGTTTCAAATGTTTTTCTAAATTTTGTAAATTTCTCAAAATGAAAAAGGCTTCATGATTTCATCAATTCGGAGTGATCACGATGGCGAATTTTAAAACTGTGACTTCCAAAGTTTTGTGAATCTAATGGATATAATCATGACTTCTCCACTATGAGAAATCCTCAATAAAATGGGATAGTTGAAAGAAAAAATAATCTAATGGATATTATCATAACTTCTCCACTCTGAGAAATCCTCAATAAAATGAGATAATTGAAAGAAAAAATGCACTTTCAACTTTGTTATAGGAGAAGGATGCAAGAGACGTTGAGATTCCTAACATAAGATAGGAGGTCATTGAATTGATGATGCGGTAAGTGTAGTTCCTTATTCTGGTCGTGATACTGAAGGTTCTGATGTCTGACATTATTTGGCTGTTCATTTGCAGATTCATATACACAGGATGGGTTGAGATCACTAATGATATCGCGTAAGATCTTCTACAAGCTGCGGATCAGTATCTTCTTGAGGGTCTTAAACAGCTGTGTGAATATGCCATTGCACAAGTGGGTAGAAACTATATTGTCTTTTCTTTTTCCCATTCTCAAAAGCTTCATTAGTTGTAATAAAATTTAGCCTGAAGTCCTAAGATGCATTGAGCATGCTTCATCGTGTAGGAAGTTTCCATAGACAATGTCTCCAGCATGTACGAATTGTCAGAGGCATTCCATGCCATGTCCCTGAGGCACACTTGTGTCATATTTATTTTAGAGCAATTCGAGAAAATCAACTCGTCCAAGGTGCTCTCTCATCAAATCTATCTCTCTTTTTTACTTCACTCTCTTGAACTACCAAGTATATTTAGTGTTGAATGCCTCGCGTTCGCATTTGCTGATTCTGCCTTGATGAACTTCCGCAGGCATTCCCATCTAATCCAGCGAATAACTCCAGAGATCCGCAACTAATTTGGTAAAGCTTTGAGGCCGAAACTGAGAAAATACTTTAACTAACTGTTCCTTTTTGACAGCATCTTCTCTAACTCATGCTGCTGCTGTTGGAGGCTTGTACAGTTGGAGCCTTTCTGCACCAAACATCTATTTCCGAAGGGGGTTCTTTATGCCCATATCTTAGTTTGTTCCAATCTTCTCAAGAGCATTATTTGTTCTTATCATTTATTTTGATACCCGACATGTTTACTCTCTATTTTGACAATTTTTACTATTTTGTAGACTTGATATTAGTTATTTGAATTCGTTTGTAACTTCCAAAGCTGGAATAATAGATTCAGATTGGATGTTTAAATTCATTCAAAATTCTAAATATGTAATTTAGATGCAATTCGATCATTTTTCCGAGTCCTAAGTTGAATTGTTTGTTCTTCTATCTCAATTGTCTGTATTTCTTAATAGTGGCTTATTAGTTGCTGATACTATGAATTTTTATTCATCTAACAAATTTAACATGATGTAGGCGTTCTTCACGCTATTGAAATCCGACAATATCATATCAAGAAGATTTCTGGAGAGAATACATTTCCTTCCATGATGTGTGTGTTTAATATTTTGCATATCAGTTGACAATCCAGAATTTTTTTGGCCATTGTCAAATGCTTCAAACTTGAAATTCTTTATCGATTCAGTGATAATTGAAGTGATGGTTCTGATTAAAGGTTTTGTATAGTATCAGTGCACAGCTGTGGTTGGGATTCAGTGATGGATTGACTTGTAGCTTTGTTGGGATTGTTGACTTTGTTATTTGTTGTTGTTGTTGTGGACTTCACTCAGAAAACATGTTTCCAAACGATGATTGGTCAAATTTGCTGCGTTGCCTCTGATACCAATCAGAACTCGTTGATATCATATGATCACTCTTTCTCTTTGAACATGATGTAACATTGATACCATTTCTTATAGACACCATCATATTAAGGAAACAACAAAATATGGGATGAAAATTGAACTTTGTCATTGTCAATATTTTCAAGAACAAAAATTTTCTTTCCCTTCCATTGTTATGATATATATGAACAAACATCATTTTCCGTATAAGCTTTCATTGAAGCAAGCTATAACTCCAACCATGAGGTCATAGTCGAATCAATTGGGGTGTCATCAGACATTATTGTCTA